GAAATGAGGGGAGACAGACGGGGAATGGCGTGAACTGTGGTCTCCAGCCGGATTCAAACTGGCGGCTCATGTAAGCGCTGTAAACCCTGGACGACCGAACTGCTAAAATCCCCCACCTCCACCTCCACCTCCTAACTTTGGAAGATACCCACCTGAACTCAGCTTTGGCTGAACTTTGGAACGTTTCCTTTTCCCCCTAGAATGAGGCCTGTGAAGTTTGTCGCTCAGCACGAACATTAAAATCAACTTAAGAAGGGAACTTTAGTGTCCACATGGGCACGAGACGTGTGGTTAAAGCCAGACTTGCAGAACATACAGATTGTTTTCTTTAAATGTTTGGATGCAACAGTTCATTCAGGATGGTCAGTGAAGAGCTGCATGAGCAGTTGTTCACCCAGATTATTGAATGAAGGGAACACAGAATGGGCGGTCAGTAGGTCACTAGGGGAGGCAGCAGAGAGTGAGAAACTAGGCCCAGTCTGATGATCTATGACTATCTGCTATACGTGTCACGTGGATTTTACAGGTTAAGACATGCAGAATATGTTGTTTGTACTCATGGAGGAAAGAAATGACTATCTGCTGGCAGGCACACAAGCAGAAACAGGCAGCTTCACCAGCGTTACCTGATAAGGTACGATGCTCTCGTGGGCCGTCCCCCAGCGCCTCGCCTCCTTCCCTGCGTTCAGATAGTTAGCAGCAATATGGCTGAGACAGGAAACCTGAGCGAGAGAGAGACAGAGCGAGGTAGAGTGGTGTTAAATCTGAGCTGTCGTCAGTCGTTCCTCTCGCTGGTGGAAGTCGGCGCTCACTAGTCGCGAAAAGAACAAAAACCACAGCTCTGCTCTCTTTCCTCCCGACGCCGCCGCCACATAACCGCTGGAAAGCGAACCGGCGGCTGATTTTAGAAGCAGCTGAAAACCTGAGAATCAATTTCCACGGCTCCTGGCGAACGGATCGGCCTCGAGTCTTGCTCCAAACAAATCCCCGTCCCTTTGTTGTTTTCATCGCCGCACCAGCCGTCAGAAACACCTCATTAAAAACACTCGACCTGCTCCCAACATCCATCCACACGTGCTGTTCTTCACCCTCAGTGTTGCGCTCTGTGAAACCTTGAAGTATAGAGCCACTTTGAGTTCAGACCAGCACTTCTCAGGTGTTTCTAAAGTGCTGCTGCTGGTTGAAAATGAGGACAAAAATCATCCATGCTGCAGCACCAAAACACCACCAAAGGTTCAAACGTTGATATTCGTTTCTCTATATTTTATGTTTCTTTACTTACTTTGTTATTATTATTCTAATAATAATAATAATCACACATCACATCACATCCCATCCAGCAGCTGCCGAGACGTTGACGTCATATTCGTGCTCGTTTCTTAACTGAGCCTCTGTTAAAGAAGAAAGCGGAGGAAAGCGAAGTAGGGAAGTGCATGATTAGAAGGGAGAAGAGGAGCGGCAGATCTGATGTTGACGTGACGGAGCAGAGGCAGACTGACACTCAGATGGGTGGTGCTGTCAATCACTGCTCTGTTTAGAAACTGATATTATTCTCTGTTTAAACTCTCAAACCCACAGCAGAGCCTCGTCTCTCGCTCTAACTACAGGCTGAACGGGATATATCCAGCTACTGCTGAGGACTGTGACACCACATGTGAGAGAACCCGGCCTTTGAATCAGCGTCACAAAGGAGCTGCAGTCGTATTAAAGTCTGTCAGCAGCAGCAGCAGACGGCAGCTTTAAATCACTCAATTTCACGTTCAATCCTGCACGAGGCTAAAAAAGATGAATTACAAGAGAATCAGAGGGTGAATCTGTTCAGGCTGATTCATGTGGTGAGAAGAAACATCCGCAAACTGAGCGGCGGTGAGAGGAAGCAAACAGCAGCTAAAAACCCTCAGTGAAGTGGTGAAGGCAGACTTTTACATGAAGGCTGGTCCACACTGCAGAAAGACCGCTTAACGTTTCATTCCCACGACTCTGATGAAGCCTGAACACGTCGCACTCACAATGAAGATGTAGTAGTTTTGACCTCACGCGCCTTGCTGGTAGGTCACCTGGCGGCTCATTAATCATCCGGTGACGACTGTAAATACAAGAAGCCCAGTGTAAAAAGGGAGTCACTGAGTCTGAGAAATGTATTCTGACAGGACAGAGTGACGGATCGACAGGAGGAAGAGTCGGCTGCACGTGGAAACACCCTCGGACAGAAAGGTGGCATTTACATTCTGCTTCAATGTACTATCACCAGATAAAAGGATGAGGACTATCATCTCCGTGGTCTCAACTTCCCCCGCAGCAACAGCCTGAAATTGTTTCTCATCCTCAGATATTTGGTGTTTCTCTGCACGGCTGAGCCACTTCCTCCAACAACCACAACAATTTAAAGCCGTTTCAAGCTGAACTTCAGACTTCTGACTTCTCCCCCCCCCGATGTTTCCAGCTGTTCCGGGACCTGCAGGCAGCTCACGCAGATACAACTGTGAACCCCGATTGGTTTGTAATGATTAAATTTCCCCTGACAACCAAACCAAACTGGGCTTAAACCCGTCCACATGGATCCAGATCCTGTGAGGCTTTGTGCTCTCATTGTTCATCTCTGGTCGGCGCGCCTGTGGTCGCAGCACTTCGTACAGGAACGCAGCATGGGATATTGGGGGTGGATTGTGGGTATTTTATGTGTAGCAGCCCTGGAAGTCGACCGCAGAGATAGAGACCTCGCAGCCACGTAAAACAATTACAGCCTGCTGTCATACATATTTTGCCAGCCATCCATCTTTATCCATCTATAATTTATCCATCCCTCTATTCAGTATCTTTCTATCATCTATCAATGTCTCTATTGTCTATCCACCCATTTCTTCCTTTTAAATTCTACACAAACTTTGATGTACAGAGCACAGAAATGTAAAGATATGTTTAGAAACAGAGTCAGTGTTCTACGAATAGTCAAAGATTTACTTTCAATTCTAAAATGTTCTTTATCACAATTTTCAAAAACTAACTTCAGGAACGCCAGTAAGGTTTGTTTATCTTTCGACTAACAGGAAACAGACTTTTCTGTGTTTCTATTCCAAAGTGAATTTCTCTCTGGAGGACCAAATGAGCTGAACTGGTTTGTGTCGCAGCGTCTTTCCCACTGAAAGAGGTGAAAAATGAGATACATAAAACATAAAACATGCCTTTAAAAGCAACACTGTCACACAGGCAGCATGTCCTGACACCACAAATCAAACGCACCCTGGGAGTCTCGAATGCTTCGGAGGCCAGGACGACGTGTCATCCCATCCGTCTCAGAGCCCCCCCGACGGTTTTAAGATTATGTAACGTCTGATTTGTTTAAACGGCGAAAACATTCGGAGCAACATTGATTACCGTGTTTAAACTGTCCGGGCCGTTCAGGATAAATCAATGGCTTGTTTAAAGGATCCGTTATTAGTTCCCACACACACAAAAAGCCGCAGTGACACCTCTGCTTATCTCTCCCATCAGAAACACCCCATTGATAAGGACTGAATCAGACAGGCAGCGTCAGCAGTGTGATTTACCAGCAGACCCTGAACACAACGCTGTAAAGCAGCATGTCCTATTTAGGTGATATTTTAGGTACAAAGTTACAAAGAGCTGCTTAAACTTTTCATTAGATGTCACAGCTGCTCTCAGTTGACTTGATTTGGTCGGTGAGGTGATCACTCAGCCGTTACCTGTGAAGACAGCAGGTTGCAGTCGATGTGAACTCCCCTCCCCGACTTGTGGCGCTGCAGCAGGGCGGCCATGACGGCTCCGTGCGCGTACAGCCCCGTCGCCAGGTCTGTCATGGCGACGCCGGGACGCACCGGCTCGCCGTCCTGCCAGCAGAGGAATAATAGCAGCATTAGACTTGCATTCTGGGATAGTTAGCAGGAAGCAGAGTCCACGCCTGGACTCACTGAGGGCACTCAGACAACACAGTGGATCCAGAACAGTGTGTAGTGAACAGGAGGTTTCCATGTTGTAATCTTAAACCGAAGGCGGCTGCAGGCCTGTGCTGTGCTTTAACTGGTCTAGATGCAGGAACGAGGTCAGGACAGTTTATGATGATCTGACAGGCTGTTACTGGACGAGAGAAGGGAAGAGAGAGAGTCTGACCTCTGGCCCGGTGATGTGCATCATCCCCGACACGGCCGAGGCGATGGAGTCGTAGCCTGGACTCTGAGACTGAGGACCGGTCTGCCCGTAACCTGAACACACAGACACAGATTATTGCCTCTGTGCCAGCGGGCCGGTTTCTCTCTGGCCTGAGGGGAAACACAGCGGGGAATCAAACGGTCGGAAAACCACATTCCAGCTGTGTGTTGAGTCTGCCGCTCTGACTAAACAGCCAGATTGATCTCCTAAAGAGTCCAGACTCTGTTCGCTTCACGTCAACAAAAAACATTTCCATGAATGCTTTTAAAGTGATAACCGGCCCACTGACTGGATTCACAGATCTGAACCCTGAAGACACTTTTACTGCGTCACATGTTGAGATATAAACTCCAGAGTGAGCGTGAGCAGCAAGTTCGTTACGAGCGTGGCAGCCTAGAGTGAGGAAACATTGTGAGTTGTTATCACGGCAGCTGTCCAACAAGGCGTTTTGTTATCGATGCGATTCCAAAACACCAGAACAGGCCATGATAAGGAGATTATTCAGCTACACTGTTCAACAAAACATTAAGAACTACAAACAAGCTCTTTAACACAAAGACTGCAACATACAAAACGTGTCTTTGGTTAGAAATGAAGGTTTAGTTGGTAGAAAGCAGCACGATCAGATTCTGATCTCCGTTATCTGATACCGATCCATTAAAACATGCCTGGATCAGCTGTTTGCAATGAACAAATCCAACAAAAGCAACTGAAAATGCATCTTATAATCACTTCTCAGGTCTGTAAATCATTCAGCCCAAGCGCACCTGACGCAGCTGATGAAGGGCTTTATTAGTTGCACCAGGTTTGCTTGAGCTGGAACACATGAAATACCTGAACTGTCCAGGGGTTTGTGGAGTGTCACATGTTCACCGCCCTTCACAGTGAAGGTTCCTAGAGACACCGTTGGAGGCGCAGTTCAGAGGAACAGTGGTTACACTTCCTGGAGGGGGCAGAAAAGGGAAACTACCAACGGCTGCAACCAGATTTCAGAGAAGGCAGTTTGTGCAAAACCCTCGCCCCAGTATGTTCAAACTCATAAACAAGCCCCAGCAGTTTTGGGACATAAAACTGGAACTTCTCAGCACGCTGGAGGATGAGATCGCTCGCCGATGCCGTGGGGCTGCTTTGCAAACCTGCAGCGTGTGGAAAGCAATTCAATTTTATTTATATAGTGCCAAATCACAACAACAGTTATCTCGCAGCGCTTTTCATAAAAGAGCAGGTCTAGACCGTAATCTGTGATGCTAAGAAGAAGGATTCACCGAAGTACGAGGACATTCAAGGAGGAAACGTCACGCTGTCTGTGAGGAAGCTGAAGCTTGTCCCTCAAATTCCACCCAGGCTGGGCCGCAGGAGAAGTGCTGGGATCACACGTCAGCTGAGTGGAGCCCCAACAGAAAATCCCCGGTGGGATTTGAAGAAGGAAAACTCAGGAACATTACTGGACTGGCGGCCATTGCTCACGAGGAATGGGCTTCTCCAGGAACGCTGCCGGAAGCCGGTGTCAGGCTGAATTTGAGGAAAGCACTTGAAGAATTCCTTGTTGAGCTATTTTAATTGCTTTTGTTGGGTGTGTTCATTGCAAACAGCAGAAAATCTGTACATTTTGACACTAACCCTGATTTGCAGTGGGGGTCGAATCATTTTGACATCAACGACTGTAAATACGGACTGTGACGGATCCGCTCTCTGCAGGCTGGCTGCCTGAAAGGAAGGAGATCGATTTAAGAACCAAAGGACGATTTGTAAGACGATCAGGGGGAATGAGACGTTTCTAGAACCCGTCATTAAAAAGTTCCAACGGGCACCGACACGTCAAAGAAGGTCCGTCAGCACCTGAACAACCTGCTGTGACTGGAACATCATGAAATCTACTTTCGGCTCCACTAAAACACTTCCTGCTGGAGATCTGGCCGTTTTTCCTCCTTTTGTTACAGACGGAATTACAGTTTTTGGGGATCAGGACATCAATCCACGAAGCATCCCGCTCCGTTTCAGACAGCTCAGGATGAAACCAGGCTGTAAATCTGCCCACTGCATCCAGCTGCTGCAGCTTAATGAGGCCTCCTGGGTAATGTAGTTTTTTTCCTAAAGGACAGGAGGATGAGGAGGAGGGAAGGGAAAACAAAAAATGTGGGAGTGATAAAGCTGGAATGGAGAAAGAAAAGTGGGGAAAGACTTAAAGGAAGTTAAATAAAGGGGAGGAAGAAAAGTACACAGAGAAAAGGAAGAGAATGGAAGTAATGAGCATTAAAAGTGAGAAACAGATTTTAGTAGGAGGTTCTCAGTGGATTTCACGGTACTATTAAGCTTCATTTAATCTAAATATTAAACATTATACTTTAAATTTTTTAGCATTTTAAGATTTAGTTTTAAGCTGCCGTCACTTTAATGTTAGTCACTAATAACAAAACGCAGATTTAGCTTTTATTCACGGTCATAAAAATGACTTTTAAATAAGAAGTACGAAATGTTGTGAACTGTGTAAACTAGCGAAGGAGCGAAGACTGGAACTGCCTACGCCAACATGCACGTCGTGGTCAACTTGTGCAAACTAAAGATGCTTTGTTTCCATAGTGTTTCAACACCAGCACAACGCTCCCCAATCTCCTGTAGCATTGTGGGTAATGTAGGAGTCAGACTTAGGCAAGGAGGAAGAATGTGGAATACAGAAAACGTGAAAAGATAAATCTGCGAGACCTCGTTTAGAGACCGTTGATGCTATTAAAGCAAACTTAATTAAAAGCTGTTGTGTTAATAAGCTAAACATGGGCTTGTTAACAAGATGCTAATGTTAGAATGGTAACGTGCAAAACAGCTGATGCTACGAAGCAGAGCCGAGATGCTGAGACGGGAGCTGATCTTTTGCAACTCCTGCACCCAGACGGCAACATGACACCAGTCACTGAACGTCCTACGGTAATACGGCGTACTGGATCAGTGCAGAGTGAGACTGACGAACGTCTGAAAATGTAGAGCTGAGCCTTCCAGGCCACTGTACAAAGCCATAACCTTTTAGATTCAGGCAACAGCAGGATCTTCCCTCTAGCGCCGCCCTCAGGACAAGCTTTACGTTTCACGGGGGCCTAACAGGACTTCAGGATGTGAACCTGTACTGGTCCAGCACCTTCAGACATGCTCGCTGACTCTCGTTTGAAGTTGATTTATTATTATTCACACCAATAAAGCAAGCGGGCAGAACTGATAATAAGACATAAGAGAAAGAAAGCAGCTCATGAAGTGAAGGATTCTGCAGGAAACACGAGCTGCAAACTACAGACCCCATGAAAACACGCCGCACTACAGATCACAGAGGCCTCGCAGTAAAAAGCTGGTATGTGTGTGTTTCTGGGCAGCAGCCCCCGCCGTCGAAGCCTCAGTAAATCCAACATGAAACAGTGTGAAGCTAAATAAGTGGTATAATGTGTGCGTGTCGCCGCTGGCTTCACTTCACAGCCTGCAGAGAGGAAACAGAGCCGGCAGAAAGCTGCTCTCTGAAGTCTTCACTGTGGAGTCCAGCCCCACCTAGCGGCTCAGTCTGAGAACTGCAGGGCTGAAGGAGGGAGAGAGGCCGGTCTACCCGTCCTCTCACGACTCCCAATCAATTAGGACTGGACTGAAAGGACTGAAACATTAATAAACTTACACACTAAAAGTGTCTGCCGGAAAACAAGCTTCAATCAGAAATGAGGAAGAAAGCAAGAGCTTTATATTTCTGCAGATTTAAAGAATCAAATTAAATATTTTGACATCATTTGGGTAAATTGGACCATTTGCATGATCTAGAGGACAAAGAAGTAGGCTAACCTGTTTAAATTAGGAATATAAGGATGTAAATACACCTCTATGACAAACGCTGTTTCCTAAAAGACAAAAACAGATTTCACTGAAAGCAGGCAGAAAACTAACTATAGACAAGTTTTGAGTTTGCTGACAGTGCAGACTATTCTCCCATAATGCAATGCACGAGCGAGACTGAGGAGCTACTAACAGCTGGAAAAAGAAAGGCATAAATTGAGGCTGGTGGTGAAACAGGTGCAGAAGGATCTTGGAAAACAACTAATCAGAATTATTATTTAAGTCTCCTTGTGAAGTTTAACTGGCAGCAGCTTCAATCTGAAAACTATTAATGTCGCCACATTTTACTAAATCACAGGTTCTGTAAGAACCACACCAACAGTAACAGTTAGAGCACTCTCCACAGATTCTGCTGATCATTCACCAAATCATCCATCAGCTTTGAGATCCTTCATTTCAGACATTACTTTCAGTTCTTTGCCATGAAAATCATCTTCCAGAGACTTAAAACCTGATGAGAGAGAAAATCCATCAGTTCCACCGGGTGTTAATATGCGACCTGATCTGAATATGTATCGATCCACTGACTTTATTTCCACAGTCAAACCGGACGTCTCAAACCGTCGTTAACAGCGGACTGTCGACATAGTTTGATCAGTATGAGGGAAATCCCAGTCCTGGTTCTCATCTGTGACACCACGATGGAGAAACGAGCTACCACACGCCATCAGAGCAGACCTCTAACCTCCAACAAGCACTTCCTGTGCTCTTCTTCTTCTATCCCCTTACAATTACACTGAACAAAATGATAAAGGCAACACTTTTGTTTTTGCCCCCATTCATCATGAGCTGAACTCAAAGCTCTAAGACTTTCACTCTGTACACAAAAGGCCTGTTTCTCTCAAATATTGTTCAGAAATCTGTCAAAATCTTAGTGAGCACTTCTTCTTTGCCGAGATAATCCATCCACCTCACAGGTGTGGCATATCAAGATGCTGATCAGACAGCATGGGGACTGCACAGGTGTGCCTAAGGCTGGCCACAATAAAAGGCCTAAGGCTGGCCACAATAAAAGGCCTAAGGCTGGCCACAATAAAAGGTCTTAGGCTGGCCACAATGAAAGGCCTAAGGCTGGCCACAATAAAAGGCCTAAGGCTGGCCACAATAAGAGGCCTTAGGCTGGCCACAATAAGAGGCCTAAGGCTGGCCACAATAAGAGGCCTTAGGCTGGCCATGATAAAAGGTCGTAAGTTGGCCACAATAAAAGACCACTCAAAAATCAATCTTGTATTGATTGCAGTATTTGTTAACCCTTTCCCTGAGTATTTATCCCATTGATACCATATGCAACAGCTCTTACTAGTATCTATTGTTACTTGTAGATCTCTTACATTGTTGATGATTGGATGTTGTTCCTCAAATGTAAGTCGCTTTGGATAAAAGCATGCCAAATGAGTAAATGTAAAAGTGACATCCTGACTCTGTTCCTGCCTTTCTCTCAGATGTTTCCAGTCCACTCATACAGTAACGTCTGCCAGCTTGGTCAACCAGCACAGCAACTCTTTCCCAGTAAACCCCCGTTTCCCTGTTCCAGTGTGACTCAGCAGCCGTTACAGATTATCCAGACACCACAACGGTTTTGCCAGCAGAGCCACTTCCTGCTGAGGAGAGCGCCACACCGCCTGTTAACTGTAATGGGCCTTTAAACGAGCCTCCGACGCAACTGAAAGCACGATTCAGTGAGGTGAGATGAACAGCTAGAAACCTTTAAATCAGAGTGTTGTTTTTCTCTGAAGCACAGGACAGTTTTACTCGTCTCTGCTTGTAAAGCAGTGGTGCAGATTATATCAGCCCCATCGAAGCTTTTCCATTTGCTGTTTCTGTCTGGAGACTCTCAGCTAGAGATGGTGTGAGGAATCATGAGTAGCTTCTACCAGTCAGTCAGAACTGAAGAAGTAATAGTAGCCCTTGATATTAACCTTCCTTGGATAATGTAGTTTAAGGCATGTTTCAGACCCGGAGGTTGCCACTTGCTACCAATGTGAATGACAACAATGCGGTCAGTCAGTACCTGATATGGAGCAGTAGATGAGTTGTGGGTTCACTCTGCTCAGCTGCTCGTATCCTAAACCCATCTGCTGAAGCTTCCCTGGGAGGTAGTTCTCTACCAGCACGTCACACACTCCTGCAAGCTGAGACACACAATGTGATGTAAATGTAATGGACATAAAGCAAACAGACAGACAACATGATTACTGTCGTGTGACGTATGTTCCATGTGGCTCCGTGATGGTAACTTCAGACCGTCGTACAGGTTGCTGCTGGGAGTGAGTCCTACCTCCTGGATGATGTGGGCTCCTCTGGGATGTTTCAGGTCCACAGAAATACTCTGAAATCAGACGAGGCTCGTTATTAACACTGTGAGAACAACATGAGGCTGAACCTGAGTTTACTGACAGGATGCTAAAGAATCAGACCTTCTGACACACACTTACCTTCTTGTTTCTGTTGATGCTGAGGAAATAGGCGCTCTCTGTGCCGACAAACGGAGGAGCCCAGGCTCTGGTGTCATCACCTGCACCTGTTCACCACAGTCCTTTACTCACACTCACACTCACAAGAAAGTGGAGCACAGTGACGCCACAGACGCCGACTCACCTGGTCTCTCTACTTTAATCACCTCAGCTCCCAGATCTCCCAGGATCATGGAGGCGAAGGGACCGGCCAGGACTCTGCAGACAGTTTCAAAGGTCTCACATAAAAACTTTATATGTGATCATGAAAGCTGAATATTACCGCAGCATTCAGACGGACTCTGACCTCGTCATGTCCAACACTCTGACGCCATCCAGTGGTCGAAGGTTTCCTCCTGCAGACGGTGAAGCAGAGAAACAGCCGGGTGATACGAGTCAACTTCTTACAGTACAGTGATACACTGAAGCAGCTAAAGATGGTGAAACTCTTTGAGCCTGTTGCTGTTTGCTCACAATAATTCACCATTAACAGCTTCTTCTGAACCTCCGACAGCTTTGTTGCCTCACTGTGTCTTATCAATGAGTGTGATTGGAAGTTATTGACTGAAAGGATTCCTGGGAAATAACTGGCTGTTAATGTTTCTCACACACAATCATTGATCCCTTATTTCATCTTTATTTAGAGAGATTTGTGGAGAAACCGGCCGATAAACATGATGCTGATTATGAGCTGGGATTATTTGGCCTGTTCACATTTTAATCAGCAGTTAGAAAGCTCTTTATATACATATATATATTGATATATTGATATATTGCTAAATGATTGTAAGAGGAAGAAGCCTGAAACTTTCCAGTGAGCAGCTAGCTTAACAAACCTGAATTAGACTTTGACCAACAAAGCTAATTAAAGTTTCTGGAGCCAGTTAATGTGAGAAATGTGAGTCCTGTCAGCGCAGTGACACATTTAACAAAGTTTAAAACGTGTCCGCTCACTTTTCACACTTCTTTCATCAGGTGAGGATGTTTATTTGTGGATTAGCAGTGACAGCTGGAGGCTAACATTAGCCAGCTAGCTTTAGCTCCAGCACCTGTTACCTGTCTGTGTGTGTGACAGCCACCGTCCTCCGACCGGACACCTCACCGGATGATTCCTCTGCGGCTGTGAAGTGAAACCAACCGGACAGAGAGCCGAAAAACGGCTTTTCAACAGTCTGAAAGAAGCAGACATCTTCCCACCTGTTAGCGTCAAGCTACACACCGGAACAACACTTCCGGGCCTCGCTTTCAAAGTAAAGGTCCGGATGAAGGAAAGAAGTCTTCTTCTGGATAATGGCAGCCAGACGGATCATTATCTTATCACCACCTTCTGTATCCTTGTTACATTTATATTCTTGTGCTGAGTCCAGTTTGTTGTTGTATTTAATAAAGCTTTCATTAATTTGTCCTGACATGACGATCTTATTAAACTCTTCATCACAAGAACTGGTAAATGATCTCCAGTCTGCCTCACCTAGAGTCCATCTTGTAACCTCGTAAAGTTCAACCATAAAATTCAGCTCAGAACTGATTGCGGTTGGATAATGATCACTTCCAATAATATTGTCATTTAGCTCCTCTCAGTTGCTGCCGCCAGCTGATTCATTGGACATCAACATAAGATCAATAGCTGATTCTACTCCACTACTGAAACTAACCCTTGTACCCTGTCTCTTCTTTAAACGAACTAAACCTTTAATCTGAATTAATTCCTCTATTTTCTCCACCCCACAACAGACAGATGCTGTTTTTGAGTGAGCCCTCAAAAGAAACATTCTGTCACAAATGTGTGGCAACTGGTCTAATTAAAAGTGTCATCAAAGACATTTTAATGGCAATGAAGTGTATGTAGTGATATGTTAGAAATGTCCTTATATAGTTTAGGTTAAACTTTATTGTAGTACTTATGTTAATTGCATGTAGGCCTATTCAACCAAGATGGCAAGTAAAGTGCTCTAAAATTTATTGCACATTGTTCTATGTCAGATTATTCAGCAGCTTAAGGACGGGTGGCACAAATGATAGTTAGAAAAAAAACATAGCTGTGTAAATGGGATATGGTACTACCTGGTATTTTTATGGTTCCACATAGCATCTTTATGGTTCCACGTAGTATCTTTATGGTTCCACATAGCATCTTTATGGTTCCACGTAGTATATTTATGGTTCCACATAGTATCTTTATGGTTCTACGTAGTATCTATGGTTCCACGTAGTATCTATGGTTATAAGTAGAATCTTTATGGTTTCACGTAGTGTATTTATGGTTCCACGTAGTATCTTTATGGTTCCACATGGTATTTTTATGGTTTCACATAGTATCTTTATGGTTCCACGTAGTGTATTTATAGTTCCACGTAGTGTATTTATGGTTCCACATAGTATCTTTATGGTTCCATATAGAATCTTTATGGTTCCACGTAGTATCTCTATGGTTCCATGTAGAATCTTTATGGTTCCACGTAGTATCTCTATGGTTCCACGTAGAATCTTTATGGTTCCACATAGTATCTTTATGTATCTACATAGTATCTATGGTTCCACATAATATCTATGGTTCTAAGTAGAATCTTTATGGTTTCACGTAGTGCATTTATGGTTCCACCTAGTATATTTATGATTTCACAGGGTATCTTTATGGTTCCACATAGTGTATTTATGGTTCCACATAGTATCTTTATGGTTCCACATAGTATCTTTATGGTTCTACATAGTATCTATGGTTCCACGTTGTATCTATGGTTCTAAGTAGAACCTTTATGGTTCCACATAGAATCTTTATGGTTCCACATAGTGTCTTTATGGTTCCACGCAGTATCTTTATGGTTCCACATAGTATCTTTATGGTTCCACATAGTATCTTTATGGTTCCACATAGTATCTGTATGGTTCTACATAGTATCTTTATGGTCTACGTAGTATCTCTATGGTTCCACGTTGTATCTTTATGGTTCCACGTTGTATCTTTATGGTTCCACGTAGTATATTTATGGTTCCACGTTGTATCTTTATGGCTCCACATAGAATCTTTATGGTTCCACGTAGTATCTTTATGGTTCTACATAGTATCTTTATGGTTCTACGTAGTATCTCTATGGTTCCACGTAGTATCTATGGTTCCACATAGTATCTTTATGGTTCCACGTAGTATCTTTATGGTTCCACGTAGAATCTTTGTGGTTCCACATAGTATATTTATGGTTCCACCTAGTATATTTATGGTTCCACATGGTATCGTATTGGTTCCACATATTATCTGTATGGTTCTACATAGTATCTTTATAGTCTACGTAGTATCTCTATGTTTCCATGTAGTGTCTTTATGGTTCCACACAGAATATTTATGGTTCCACAAAGTATCTTTATGGTTCCACATAGAATCTTTATGGTTCCACGTAGTATCTTTATGGTTCCACGTAGTATCTTTCTGGTTCTATATAGTATTTTTATGGTTCCACATAGTATCTTTATGGTTCCACGTAGTACATTTATGGTTCCACATAGTATCTATGGTTCTAAGTAGAATCTTTATGGTTCCACATTAGAATCTTTATGGTTCCACGTAGTATCTTTATGGTTCCACATAGTATCTTTATGGTTCTACGTGGTATCTTTATGGTTCCACATAGTATCTTTATGGTTCTACGTGGTATCTTTATGGTTTCATGTAATATATTTATGGTTCCACATAGTATCTGTATGGTTCTACATAGCATCTTTATGGTCTACGTAGTATCTCTATGGTTCCACGTTGTATCTTTATGGTTCCACGTAGTCTCTTTATGGTTCCAAGTAGAATCTGTGGTTCCACATCGAATCTCTATGGTTCCACGTAGAATCTTTATGGTTCCACATAGTATCTTTATGGTTCCACATAGTGTATTTATGGTTCCAAGTAGCATATTTATGATTTCATGTAATATATTTATCGTTCCCCAAAGTATCTTTATGGTTCCAAGTAGTATCTAGGGTTCCACATAGAATCTTTATGGTTCCACGTAGAATCTTTATGATTCCAAGTAGTATCTATGGTTCCACATAGAATCTTTATGGTTCCACATGGTATCTTTATGGTTCCACATGGTATCTTTATGGTTCCACATAGTATCTTTATGGTTCTATGTAGTATCTTTATTCTTCCACGTAGTATATTTATGGTTCCACATAGAATTTTTATGGTTTCACGTAGTATATTTATGGTTCCACATGGTATCTTTATGGTTCTACGTAGAATCTTTATGGTTCCACGTAGTATCTATGTTTCCACGTAGAATCTTTATGGTTCCACGTAGCATATTTACGGTTTCATGTAATATATTTATCGTTTCCCAAAGTATCTTTATGGTTTCAAGTAGTATCTATGGTTCCACATAGAATTTTTATGGTTCCACGTAGTAAATTTAGGGTTCCACATGGTATCTTTATGGTCTACATAGAATTTCTGTGGTTCCACGTAGTATCTATGTTTCCACGTAGAATCTTTATGGTTCCACGTAGTATTTTTAAGGTCCCACATAGTATTTTTATGGTTCCACATAGTATCTTTATGGTTCCACATAGTTTCTATGGTTCCACATAGTATCTTTATGGTTCCACATAGTATCTTTATGGTTCCATGTAGTATCTATGGTTCCATTTAGTATCTTTATGGTTCCACATAGTATCTTTATGTTTTCATGTAGTGCATTTATGGTTCCACCTAGTATATTTATGGTTTCATGTAGTGTATTTAAGGTTCTACGTAGTATATTTACGGTTCCACATAGTATCTTTATGGTTGCATGTAGTATATTTATGGTTTCACGTAGTATTTATGGTTCCACATGGTATCTTTATGGTTCCACGTAGTATCTGTATGGTTCTACGTAGTATCTTTATAATTCCACATAGTATCTTTATGGTTCCACGTAGTATTTTATGGTTCCACATGGTATCTTTATGGTTCTAAGTAGAATCTTTATGGTTCCACGTAGCATATTTATGATTTCATGTAATATATTTATCGTTCCCCAAAGTATCTTTATGGTTCCAAGTAGTATCTAGGGTTCCACATAGAATCTTTATGGTTCCACATAGAATCTTTATGGTTCCAAGTAGTATCTATGGTTCCTCATAGAATCTTTATGGTTCCAATGTAGTATATTTATGGTTACACATGGTATCTTTATGGTTCTACGTAGAATCTTTATGGTTCCACGTAGTATCTTTGTTTCCACGTAGAATCTTTATGGTTCCACGTAGTATTTTGTTTGGTTCCACATAGTATCTTTATGGTTCTACGTGGTATCTTTATGGTTTCATGTAATATATTTATGGTTCCACATAGTATCTGTATGGTTCTACATAGCATCTTTATGGTCTACGTAGTATCTCTATGGTTCCACGTTGTATCTTTATGGTTCCACGTAGTCTCTTTATGGTTCCAAGTAGAATCTGTGGTTCCACATCGAATCTCTATGGTTCCACGTAGAATCTTTATGGTTCCACATAGTATCTTTATGGTTCCACATAGTGTATTTATGGTTCCAAGTAGCATATTATGATTTCATGTAATATATTTATCGTTCCCCAAAGTATCTTTATGGTTCCAAGTAGTATCTAGGGTTCCACATAGAATCTTTATGGTTCCACGTAGAATCTTTATGATTCCAAGTAGTATCTATGGTTCCACATAGAATCTTTATGGTTCCACATGGTATCTTTATGGTTCCACATGGTATCTTTATGGTTCCACATAGTATCTTTATGGTTCTATGTAGTATCTTTATTCTTCCACGTAGTATATTTATGGTTCCACATAGAATTTTTATGGTTTCACGTAGTATATTTATGGTTCCACATGGTATCTTTATGGTTCTACGTAGAATCTTTATGGTTCCACGTAGTATCTATGTTTCCACGTAGAATCTTTATGGTTCCACGTAGCATATTTACGGTTTCATGTATATATTTATCGTTTCCCAAAGTATCTTTATGGTTTCAAGTAGTATCTATGGTTCCACATAGAATTTTTATGGTTCCACGTAGTAAATTTAGGGTTCCACATGGTATCTTTATGGTCTACATAGAATTTCTGTGGTTCCACGTAGTATCTATGTTTCCACGTAGAATCTTTATGGTTCCACGTAGTATTTTTAAGGTCCCACATAGTATTTTTATGGTTCCACATAGTATCTTTATGGTTCCACATAGTTTCTATGGTTCCACATAGTATCTTTATGGTTCCACATAGTATCTTTATGGTTCCATGTAGTATCTATGGTTCCATTTAGTATCTTTATGGTTCCACATAGTATCTTTATGTTTTCATGTAGTGCATTTATGGTTCCACCTAGTATA